CCCCAAAACCCCAAAACCCCAAAACCCCAAAACCCCGAGAATGAAGTGAATTAAAATTTTAGAGAATTATAAAATAAATATTCAAGTTTAGCTAGCTTATTTTTGTTTTTATTATGATGTCTTTAGATATGTTCGGAGAAATAATAATAAAATAAATTTAAAATCATACATTTTATAGAAATATCACCTTTGATAAATGTCATAAATTCAACTAATAACATTATTCCTCTCGGACACGGAATAAAACATCCCTTTCACTTATAATGAAAATACCAAAGTCTAGACTATTTTCGACAGACTCAAGACTTAGAACAACTATTCTGATCATATGAGACTCTTGCTTAATGGATAAGTGCTTAACGGAGTCAAAGACAAAAGGTTAGTTTAAAGACCCAACAAAAATTCTGATCTAATTCTATCCAAAAATATATCTTCACATATTGACCAATTAATTTGATATAGTTTTAAAGAGAGTGGTATTAAGATAGGGGACACTATTTATGTTCTAAATCATCTGAAGTATAATCACATCTAGGAACAAATAAAAATGATGCGCGAAAAAAAATTCGTAAAATCTGGAATAAATGCAATGCAATCGTAGAAAGATAAATTCAAAGTTAACCCCCACAGTCTAAGTGCCAAGCCTAATCAAGCACTGCAGTAATAGGACACTGAATCTAAGAGAAGTCCATGGAATTTCTTATTCAGTGGATTTTAATCAAAATCCAATAATGATGATTCTAACAACAGTTCGAATGAAAAAGCTAAGAGAAACCAATTCAATGAACGGGAAAAAGAAGTTGAAAATATTGGTTAAGAGGCTACCCCTGAACTTATAGCATAGATTACTGGAGCAAAAAGTGTTTTGAAGCCATAGAATTCTAGGTTACATGGATTAAATCCTTTTGGAGGTGGAGGAGAAGACTAGCTTTTCGAAGCTTTTCAAACATTTATAATGCACAGAGCTAGAGAAGAAGGTGCTCCAATGGAAATGAGTTCGATGAATAGTATTTTCGGTGGACTGCATGCGGGGAGTGCAGGAGAAAGATCAATATTTATTAGAAATAGAGAAGCTGAGAGGTAGTAAAGGCATGAGCGAAGGCACCAAGAAAGATAGCCTGATCCAGCTATGATTAAGAGTCTGACAGAAATGGGATTCGACGAGGAGAGATCAAAGAGAGTGTTAAAGCACTTCAAAAATAATCTTAATATGGCTATGGACTATCTGATCAACACGCCTCTTGAAAACGATGCTATTCTTAACCAGGCAAGTGATAATGCAGGATCGGCTGCTGAGCACTTTGTACCAAACCAAGAGTCTTTGACAATGCTCGTAGAAATGGGCTATACAAAAGAGGATGCTATTTATGCACTTAAGGTAACTTCTAATAATCTAGAACACGCTTGTACTTACTTAATTTCTAACCCAAATCCATCTCAACAATCAAGCCGATCCTAAGCATTTGGAAATTTATTTACTTAGAGTAGATAACAAAACTTGCTTGATCATAATCATGCGATGCTAAGTAGCATAAATTAACCTCGACCAGGCGATTACACGATGGCAAGTAGTTAAAGATAAGAATTCTCGGCTGAGAATAGTAGAATAGCATAGGCATTGAATAGCATTATGAGAGCAAGAGAGTTCAATCAAATTAACTAGCAATCAGCTTCAATATTCAGAGCTCCAGGAAGAGGCTTTTCACATAACTTTGGAAGTTCTAACAGTGAAAATAACAGCAGCAACTAAAATTCAAACAATTTATCTAACAATAACAACAACATTCCGCATTCTTCTAATGATGGATCAAATAATTAATGAGTTGATTGATATGATGGACATCAAATCTTTAAATTGATCAATAAGATAAATTGAAGATTGAAAATAAGGGAAATTAAAACGATATTGTTTACATTAAGATTTCTTTAAGAATATTATTTGACAATCTACTCTTTTTTATTCCATGGGGTTTTGGGGTTTTGGGGTTTTGGGGTTTTGGGG